CAAGATCAGCGACATGTAATGGATAGTACGTAATATATATATATATATATATACATTTTTTTTTCTATTGTAAAAATAAAATATTAACTTTTTTCTTTAGTAATGATTGTCATGATAATTCAGATGAAAAACTATCATTATGTCCAAATGACACATGTCCATCTGGACAATTTCAATGTCGAAATAAAGAATGTATACCATATGAAGTTGTTTGTAATGGTGTAAGAAATTGTACTGATGGAAGTGATGAACCACCTAGTTGTGGTAAGAATTTAACAAAAAATAAAAAAATAAAAACAAAAACAAATCTCATTGTTTGATAATTTCGATTATATTTTGTTTCTTTTGAATATAGGTGTTAATGAATGTGCTTCATCAATTTTAAGTGGCTGTGAACATGATTGTATTAATACATTAACTTCTTTTCGATGTACATGTCGAAGAGGTTATAAATTAGCATCCAATCAGAAAAATTGTTGGGGTAAGACTTTTATATAATATTTGACGTAGGCAACTTTCAAAAAAGTTTCATTACATATTCGTTATGAGATAATAAGAACAACAAAATATAAATAAGACATTCCAGTAATGACCGGTCTATCGAGAGAACCACTTGAAATGATACCTGGTGTTTGAGATCATATTGGATCACCAAAAAAGTCTTGGTGAGACTAGAAAAAGTCTAAAAGGATTCATTCTCAATGAGTCTTTGGAGCCAAGCCAGGATTGCTTTACTAAATCCAGCTTTAGGTGTACAAAGCGAAAAATCAAAAAATAGATTTTCGACTTGAAATTGTGTTCATAGACAGCTCTAATAATCTGTGGAAGATTCGAAAATTTTCATCCGAAAAGAATATTTTGTTTTTGAGATATTGAAACTTTCAGGATATTCTACAGATTATTCTATATATATATGGGCAAAGTCTCAGATTGTAATTCTGGTTTTTGCCTTTTCGGCATGTATGCGAAACCCATGAAAACAAAATCTTTTAAGATTTTTCTAGTCTTACCAAGAGCTCATAATGAGCTCAAACGGCGGATATCAGTTCGGGTAATTAATCTCATTAGTAAAAATTTAATGTTTTCTCAAGCTATCGACAGGTTTTACATGATTACTGAAGTATATCATTGTGGATGAGAATTACATCAATCAGTCGGAGTTTGTCAATGTGCTTTAATTGAGAACTAATGAAAATTGATGTGTGCATGTTCATCTCTCTCGATTTTTGGTATCCTTTAATGATTAAATTAAAATTTCATGCATCAGGATCGGCTTTGTTGTCACTCTTATTGTTCTTATATGTAATAGTATACTTATAAAGTACACAACTTTGGTGCATATAGATTTTCAAGTAACTTTTGACAACTCTAAGACATACCTCTAGACAACTTACTTCAATCGATTCAAATTGAGCTTTATATTGATTTTGAATCCCTTTCTTTTACTAACTCGTAATTTACAACTTGATTAGTATAAATCAATTTCATATGGATATCGGAATTTCATCGGATAATACTTCTTTTCTATTCATAGTGTGTTACCTTTAGACAAAAAAAAACAATTTTTTTAAAAATTGAAACTTCTAATATTAATTAATATTTAGATATTAATGAATGTATTGAAACTCCAAGTGTTTGTCAACAATTTTGTGAGAATATACCAGGTATAATATATTTCAAATTAAATATCTTTATAATCTTTTTTTTTTGTCATCAGGTTCTTATATATGTAAATGTGCACCTGGTTATGTAAAAGGTCTTGATGGACGTAGTTGTAATCGATTAAATCGTATGTTTTGTTTAGCATTTGAGAAAAACAAAATGAATTCCTATTATATTTAGGAACTATTGTTCCATATGTATATTATACAAATAAATACTATGTTCGTGCAATTGGTCTTGATGAACAAAATCAAATAACTATTGCACGTGGTTTTATGGAATTATCAAGTATAACATATGATTGGAAAGATCAAAAATTATATATTGGTGATCGACAAGCTAGTAAAATTTATCGAATGAATTTAAATGGAACACAATCAACAGTTA